GCGAGTCTGCGCCAACAATTTGTTCGGTGAATTAGTTGGCGTCAACACACAATCTTATCTTAATACAATCACATTTTAAAAATATCGGATGATTTGGTGCGTTTCCAGCTGCTTACAGGTTACGCAGCCTAACGACTTTTAAAAGCTAAACTTTTAAAATCAATATATTCATGCATCGTGAACATCGATGCTACAAAATGCATTCTTGTCTTCGGCCATGCTGACCACCTCTTAATTAATTAAACTAATCTATGTTCTCAAATTTGTTATTATTGAGAAAATATAAGAAAATTTCAGCTTGGATGCATGTAGCCCGATATGTTAAGGCTTCAAAGAAGTAGATGAAATAGGACGACGTTAATTTTAACAATTGATAAATTACTTCGGGGAATCTCATCAGTCAGGAAATGTACTAACTATAGTCTGAAACCTTTCTTCGTTCCTCACACGTGATCTTACTGAGCAAACTTTTTAAACTTTTTTTTTGTGTTCCTCGAAAACGAAATAAGCTATTTTGAACTGACATCGTGATCTTTTGTGAGCAAAACTCACCTAAATCCTGGATAACAAATAAAGTACATAGATATAAATAGTTTCATTAAATTAATTCCTATCTCCCTCCGTTTGTTCAGTTGCAAAAAAATTATGGTGCATACGAGGTTCAATATATTTTGAAGGTATAAATTCAGACAAGGTGAATGTGTTTCATATTCAACATGTGATCCCTAATCGCGGTAGAGTGATCAAAGGCGACGTATACGAGACAGCGAGTTCGCTAGACATTGCACAAACGTCGCAGCGCATCGGCAAACTCCCGCTAAAAAGGGAAGAAATTCTCGCTTTTGTCGCAGTTGTTAGACAATAATTGTGACAAACGGCTTGGGTGGCTCCGATGTATACTGCGGCCCTTTCTTTGGAGAATTTGTTCATAAAACAATGAGATGCTGCTTTTTTATCGATCAATTCAAGTTCCATGCACAGTTTTAAATTAGATTATAAGAATTTTTGACAAAAAATCGCATCGAGTAAATGTCCAAAATGCTTCTGTAATGTGCGAAAATTTTACAATATTAAACGGTCTACGGGTAGACATTAGAGAGGCAAGGAGAGATTATTGAAAGTCGGTTCAATATATGTATAACTTAAATAATTCATTCAAATTCATTTGTACTTCTTGTCCTTCAGGTTTACCATTACTTTTACTAGGTACATAAATTGTATGGAACAATTTATTAACATTTCTTAGCCATAACGAGATATATAATATAAAATTATTACCACGAGATATAAACGATTTATGAACCGAAAACTAGCGGGAAATAAACTTTTACGACCGATCTAAAAATTATAGGTAAAATTTATTTCAATATATTAATATACTAAAATTTTGTTGTATATGTATCTTTAAGTACATTTTTTTGTCAGTTCTCACAACTGTGCTAGGTCTTGCAAACCCTAGTTAATTTTAAACCTTCACAGTGGCTGGAATGATTTCTATAAAATTTGACCAAGGTCGTAAAAATAAGGAAAACTCCTTAAAAATCCACAATCCGGTGTAGGTCAACCTTTCGCGGCAATTGCAGCCTCAATTCTCCTAGGTATTGATTCTACAAATTGTGAATTATTATTTCCAAAGTAATTTTAACCAGTTCTTCAGTTAAAACTCCTTTCAGCTCTTTTAAAGACATGAGATGCTCAACTTAATATTGTGTCAAGCTCTTATTGTTTACTTTAAAACATGTTCAAACATTGTGCTCTTCAAGTGTTAGGTGTTATCCTTGTTTTGTTCCGCCATCGTATGTAAGTCTACTATATAATATTTGTTTTGTATTGTGAAGTATCGTTTCAAAAGCTCCGCACAATAGTTTCATGTTGCATTGGTTAGCCAATTGCTGGCTTAGACAACGCAGCATCGTGAGAGGTTTCCGGATATATAGGGACACAAGTAAGTGTATCGTATCGCTGCAAATCTCTACCTGAGACTGTTGCCCCTGCAAATTTGTGTACATTCATACATTCCGAGGCAATGTTTATTTTAAAATACCTATTGAAAACTAGCTTTTTTCACACGTAATAAGAATTTTTTACTGCACACCTCTTTATTTTAAAAAATAGACACAGTCCAGTGATTAAATGTAAATTGTTGAAGCAATCATGTTCTACGTTTGCTGAGATTAAGCCAAGCGATTCTTTTCAGGAAGCGTAGGAAAAAAGTAAGCAAGATTCTCACCATGAATAGTATAATATTTTTAACATAGAATTCAGACATACGATGCCAAAATGGTTTCAACTTCGATACAATTGAGTCGCCAGATGTTCAGATTGACTTGAAAATTTCGAAATAGCCTCTCATCCTGGCGCTACATGCACCGGAGAAAGGCTCGCTTATTAGAAATTCCTACCGTCCAGTTTCCCGAATGTATCAAAGGATAGATGAAGAACTTATTGGTAGTGAATATAAATTAAATTCCTCGCATATCCGACGGAGAGGCTGTTATGGGCATCATAGAAAATAATAAGAACTTTTATGAGTTCAATTGTCCAATAACCAATCTTCATGCAGGTTAGTTATCCAAAAACAAATTTCCAGGAGGTCCTGTTTTCCAGTAGCGACATTTCGTGGAAAGCAACTGGGTCTTACCGAAGACACACGTCTTCGGCGTGTCTCAATATCATCTCATTTCCATGGGCCTTCTATTGATGAAATCAACAGCGGTCGAATATCGAGTTTTTCGAATACAACTTCTATGGCCACTCAGATCTGGTATTTATTTTACTAGATTATTTAACAAGTTTTTAATAGCTAGCATAAATAAAAAATAGCATCCTCAAGTGACTGAATGAGTTCTGTTGTATTTCATTGTAAAGTGGAGAAGTTTTTATAGTCACAAAGACTTTTCCATGAGCAGTTTTCTAATCCAGAAAGAAGATCTGTGTAAAAACGTGCAAAATTTTCCGAAGATCTCATATCGATTATAATGTGAACAGCCAAGCCTTTCCTTGGATCTCTCACGTACTGGCTCGAGCGGTCCATCAATAATGGGCAGACCGGCGGGTGGAAAGCACTGATTCTGCCGTGAGTGTACGTAGTCCCGATAATAACATGCGTGTTCGTCCCGTAATTAATGGGACGAATTCGTAATTAATTGACGACGGGACGACCATGAAATTTAATATCGACATACTTTTTCTGATTCCAGCAGTCCTTCAGTAGGAGTCTCGGCTAACACAAATCAATTCAATTCGTCGTTACTTCATATTATGCATGGTGTGCTTATTCCGCGCAATATCTTGTTTTCATGTGTATGAACAAGCCATTTATAGTTAGCGTCGACTTCAGGAACTTGGGCATGAAGTCCTTCAATCATCCGCCACTGATCCAATCTATAGGGTTGATGAATAAAAATTTCGTATTAAATGGGAATTAAATGGATCGTTAGCAAATATATTAATTTTGTGCATAAATAACGATGGGGAGGAGATAAAATATTATTGCAATCGCGCCCAGCTGTCGAGAAAGACTTAGTGACTACTGGTACTGGAGATAAGACTGTCAGCATCACCATTGGAAATGGTGTTGAATTCAAAATTAAAGCAGTAGTTGATACAAAACAACACGAATTTTATTTGTAAGCACACTTAGAATTGGAAAGAGTGTAGATTTTATCTTGCAGCAAAGCAGCATACACAAGATGANCAACATTTCCCCGACCGCCTCATCTCTCTCAGAGGCGATCTCCAATGGCCGCCACGCTCTCCAGGTTTGACTCCATGCGATTTCTTTTTATGGGGATATTTGAAATTTCTGGTTTATTTCGATCGACCACGGACCATAGCACACCTCAAGAACAACATTCGCGACGTCATTGCCAAAATACCGATTGATATGCTGTATAGAGTGGATACAAATATAAAACAAAGCGACTTCATCAGTTTATGCGCAATGGAGGCCGTCATTTATGAGATGTCATTTTCAAGACTGTATGAAAAAAAATTGGGATACTGTATTCTCAAATAAAAAAATGTAAAACAATAATTGAAGTACTTTTGTTTTGTATTGACCTTTCAAATAAGTAAGATTCTCTGGCGCACCCTGTATATCCCATTTTTTCTGAATCGCGTGACTTGTGAGCACTTCAAGTGTCGCAGGTATGGCAGTAAATCAGCCAGTGAACGCATATATAACTTCAGTTCACATAAATTATTTTAATTTGAATTATTTCAAATCATGTCTATGTTGAAAATTTCGAATCAAAGTGACTCAAGTTACCGTGAAATGAAAAATTCTTACTTTTTTGAAATGCTTAATTGGTGTTTTTGCCAAGAGTGGGAAGGTGGAATTCAAATGTTATTTAAAATGATTACAGTAGATGTGTGTATGCTAATTTTCTAACTGTAAGTTCATCAAACAATTTGAGTAGAAATAAGGAAATATGATGCTCCAATTGACAGACTCGACCTAGCACGGAATTTTTTTTATAAATGTAATTTTATTCCGTCATTGCGTGCTCTGAACAAACAAAGCTTTGAACAAAGTCACTGTCAATTCAAGTGACTTTTGTCGGGCTGACTTTTGAGTTGATGGAAACACTTGGTAATTATGTAATTCTGAATCCCAGTGAGATTCGATGTAATTCGAAACATTTTCCATTTAATCACTTAAAAATTATACTTGGCAAATTGGTCTTATAGAGTTCAAGTACCGTAAGAGAAGGCTAAAGTAGCAGAGATATACAAGATTTTAGAAATTCGCCATTGAATATACTATTAACTTGATAGATATTTATTGGAATTTCAATAATTCTGTTACATTAACATTTCTTAGAATTTTTAACAAATTTATTTCTTATTACATTTTTTGGGGGAATTTTGGTTTCACTTTTTTAACAACTGAATTCAATTGATGAAAGAAATTTGGCATGATCAACCGAACAGTTACAAACTCACGGTAAATCGTCGATGGAAATTCGAATATCAAAAAAGTGAGTATCAAGAATGCCTTACTTACTGTCCTTGGGTTCACCGTTACTTGGCTGAAAAGAGAAGATTTAGGTAGCCTCGAATTCAGTCCAAGACAAATTCAGACGCACATACCTAATATAGCTTCTCATTTGAATAAAATCTATATAAATGTACGAATTATAAAGGGAAAATGAATTGATAAAAAGGAAAAGTTTTTTGTACAATGTTTAGGCAAATTTATGCACAATATTGTGAAATTTTACACAGACTTTGAAATATTTTTCTGTTTAAAATATTATGCACACACACAGAGCGAATTATCAAGTCGCATGATAAAGTGACGCCATATTCTTGTTTTGTCAAAACATTTCTTGTAACAGTTCCTGCAGTTTCTTTGCTCCTCGCGTTGCAATCGAACACTACTCTAAGAGCCCTACGATATATATGTAAAACATCCGTACAGAGAATTCCTCATTCCTGCAACGATGAAAATCGATAATTCGTTTGATAAAAAAATCAATATATTTTGCATTGCATAACAGGCAGCGATACGCAAACCAATTATATTTTAACGGCGTTTAGGGAGCTGCAAGAAACCGAACCGTTCTTGGATTTGTTTTTAAGAGGCTCGTGGAGCGGCCGCCAGGCGCGTTAATCCCTATGAGGGTTCTTAACAATGAGGGCAACCAATAACTCTCCTCCTAAATAAGATACAAGTCTGAAATTTGGAATGGTGATCTGGCTAATTATTTTCAATTAACGGACAGCAAGATATATTATGTAAACTATGTATTATCACTTTTATCACGAACAAAAATTTTAAACCATATGAGGATCGTAAAATGAGCGATTTTTTCTAGCGCGACATCATTTTCTAACATTTTCGCGACACAAGTTAATTTAACTATTTATTCTTCATTGACCTCTACACAAAGCATTTTTGAATCATTCTTTCAGCATTAGATATTAGTCGACATTATTAGTGGTAAGTGAAAATTCCGTAGATTTAAGCAAGACCTGACCCNGATTTCTTCCAAACTCTGGTGTTTGTAATTGATGTCATCAGGAACTTTTTCAGGACGTATTCGTGCTGGCCTCACTAGGACGACGAGCACGCAGGCCTGCAGGAAGCAGGCACCGTAGAGCAGCAAGCCTCCCGAGTAACCGTAAAAGTCTATGAGGTATCGCACGAGGTGCGGGGAGATCACGCCCGAGGCCCCCATGCCAACAGAGATGCAAGAGAGTGCAGGTCGTCTGTACTTCTCAAAGTACATCGGCACCATCAGCAGGGTAGCGTTGTAAAGAAAGCCTCCGCTCAGCGCTGAAGGGGAGCCAAAGAAAGATTAGGCCTTTTAGGTGTTGGATAACTAATGTGTCAGTCGGATGTGGAACTAACCCACTTATCTGACCTGCATTGTAGAGTTCTTCAGAATGTAGTGATAGGTCTTGCAATATACGCTATCATATTTCAACCTATTAGTACATGGGTGATGAAATGAATTGAGAAGCTAAACATTTTAGAATCTACAGAAAATTTGAAGGGAAAATTTTAAGTCTCACCAAGTACTATGCCATACGCAACGAAGATGACTCCCAGACCGTCACAAAGCGCCAGCAGCACGAAGGAGAAGAAGGCCGTGACGAGAGCGACGAAGGTCGTGCTTCTGTGGCCGAGCTTGGAGGCGATGTCCGGGCAAATTAGCGAGCCGAGGTCGAAGAAGAAAATGTGCAACGTGAAAATGCCGCTGCTCAGTGATGATGAGGCGGAGAACGAAGCCATTTTTTCGCTGAAGAATACGCCGAAGCATGAAGACAAAAAGCCAACAAAGACCTGAAAATGGCACATGAAAATATAAGTATATTATGAAATTTCGCGGAAGATTCATCTTCATAATGTGTATCATGATATTCAACTTCTACAAGTTAGTTCAATTGAGTGCCTCCATCGACAAGTAATAGCTCTTTAAATTTGAGCTACAATTGTTTAATTTGGAGCTGTTCATTTATTCTTTGCATGGCTATTTAAAACGGACTTTCATATATATAAATTATCGTTCATCAATGTAATTCAGACACTAAAGTAGGTTGTAGCAGAACTGGAAATATAGGTTGCACTATAACCCAAATAGTTTGTTAACGAATCAATTTCCGAAAAAAAAACAAGTAATGGAGGCATCTATCATTGTAAGATTAGAAGATATTATCTTAAAAATTGTATTAGTTGAGTCGTGAGTATGAAAATCGACAAAGATTAAACTATGATTAAGATTAAACTGATCAATCGAGACTCAACTCGTCAAAAATCGTTGATGCCTGAAGCTCTGTTATCAGTTTCAAGCTCGCCTTAAGATCAAAATCAATCGTTCTAAGGTACTAATACAATATACTAATACAGGAGCAAAAGTTAGAAGGCTAACTCTTTGTACCGAAACCTCAAGTTGAAACAGAACATTCGTAGATTTGTTCCTTAGTATTTTTTTGCAAATTGTGAAATTTCCGGCTCGTTGCAGCCCCATATATCAGATAACGGAAAAATCAGATTCAATCAGCTGATTTCTTCCCAACGTACATCATTCACTATCATTTTGCATGGAAGGTTTTCACAAAAAAAGTTGATAATGTAGTGCTATACTGTAAACATTTATCGATATATTTCAGCTGAAAAAAATTAAGCCAAGAAGGAAAGATATAAACGAGTTAATCTTGTGAAATAACAATTCACAGCATAGCGCGTAAAATATTCATTAGAATTATTAGTTGTCAGAGTTTTTAGATGCAAATGTTTTTTGGTTTCGAGTTAAATAAATACCTAGCAATATCATTATCCGAGCTGGCTGAATTAGAATCGATCAGAAGTTGCTAGAAATGTAAAACATGTCCGCTTTAGCCAACACGGATGGGTTCTTCTGCACAAGATAAGGCACATCTGAATGATTCTTTCAGTCAACAATAACGTATGATATAAGTTTCCTAGCATAAATAGAAGCGGAGGCAGTCAAATTACTTACTTGAATGTAAAAAGCCATCATGAGGGCCACCCAACTCCATTTTCCATCAAGCAGACTTTGCTGACACGTAGAACCCTTACAGAGCTTGTTTTCATTATCGTTTGTGCCGTACCCTCGAGATGAAACAAGAGTTTTGAAAGCTTTGTTGCTCAGTTTTTTGTGGCAAATTTTGGAATCGGGACTATTTGCAGCTATTTCAGATGCCGGATAAATCATGTTTAATTTTCCGATCGACACACAAATCCGGTACTATAATTTTTCATTGTTGGTTTTTATTTTTAGAAATATATTTGTAATATGTCACTTTGAGCGAACGATCGAAGGGAAAAGTTTTTCCGCACATAAATCAGCTTTTTTTTTGTGACGTATATGTTTATGGTATTTATCTTTTTTGAGTTGCTTTACACGGGATATGTTCTCGGCACTGTTTCAGGTGCATATATGCCAGAATACTGTTGATTGACGTCGCGTACTGAACGTCGCATGTGCCGTGCTTTGAGTTTGTATATCCAATTATCTATTGATTCCAAGTTTAATAATTTTTTTCTTCTCAATTTCTGTTCTTCACTATGATAATCAACATATTCCTAATTAATTATAATTTGGCGTATATTGTTGTAATTTATCAGCAGGAAACATTTTATCTACATTCACATGTAACGGAATTTGAATTTTGCGGAATATATTTTTTTTTTGAGAGCGTAGTATTGGCTGGACTTGGAAGATTCAACTTCATCAAAGGATTCGTGTTTAGAATGTGACTTAATAATGCGTGAATAGATTTATTTTATGACTATTGGATATGGAATGTCGTTTAACTGTGATATTATTTTGTTAAATTGTACGATTTAGTTATTAGAGTCTTGGGACGAGACTGAATGTCTTGTAGCTCCAACGTGATTGGTCAAGTCAGCTAGTAGTCTCACGCGGGTGCGCGTATATCCCCCTCGGTGGTCTTAGACGATGAAGAGCTCGGTCTCATTAGAATTGATTATGATTATTCAGCTATTAACTTGTATTAATTAGTTTGCCAAAGAATTAAAACTCTAAACACTATATTGTATTGTTTTATATTGTCTGTTTTTTTACATAAATTAGGATGTTAGTCTATTTTATTGCGTTGTAAACTAGGTATTATTGTGAAGTCATTTAGCCGAGTTACCCCACGTGGGCAAATTGTGCGTGTACTTCTTGACTGGGTGGTCGTTCAAACGTTTGGACTCGAATGGAGAGAGCCAGATCTGGACTTCTAACTCTGTAATAGCCATGGACATATCTCACAGAGCTTAGCTGACTCACAGGGCGTTTAGTTTAACGTTAACCAGACGTAAGCAGGAGATCTACTAACGGACTAAATACGGCGTAAGCAGAGTTCTTAGCTGGTCCCAGCTGCTGGTGGCGTTTCGTTCGGCTAATGACCATACCGTACGCACCCTCGTGTCGTAGGGGCTAATAACCCCTGTGCTCGTGTAAATTGACAGCGGTTTATTGAGGGCTCGAACCCCTCAATAGTCGTGCTTTTGGGGCGTAACTGCCATCCACTTTTGTGATTCTTGGCAGTGTATTAGAGCTTGTTCCCTTGATCACTGCGGATGGTTGTCGGCATCGTGTTGCGGCTCGAACTCATACCCTTGCTGTCCACTTAAGTGATTCTTAGCAGAGTATTATGGCTCGTACCCCTGATTGCTGCAGCTGGTTGTCGGCTTCGTGGTACGGCTCGAAACCGTACCTTTGCTGTCCACTTTTGTGTTGCTTTTGACAGTGTATTACGACTCGTCGACGTTGTACCCCCTGAAGTTGCAATCTTAGCTCCTGGAGCTTTAGGACTTTCATTGAATAATAAATTGTGCGCCCTTGTGTAGAGAAATTTGTGTATCGCCTGAAGATCACCAGTATACTACGGAAAATTCATCGTGTTCTTTCCTCCTCTCTTCAACGAATGAAATTTAGAGCCGGACCAAAAAGCGACTTTTTAGCTCTTGGGTTTAAAACCAATACGAAGTCTCCACCAAAGTCGGCACCCTACCCATAACTATTTCAACTTCGCGGGGGTGTTTCCGGTTACACACATATGATTTAACCAATAATTCCTATTTCAAGCCGTTTTTTTTTAAACTATATCTAGCAATCAACGACCGTTATTGTCTAAGACTCTTAAGTACTGCCACTGACTGAATCTTTCTGAAGTTACACGTTATTCCCTGTACCTAGACCACAGACAGAATTTAAAGCGATATTTTTCCGACCGTTTGTCTTCAATTGAGTTATAATTCATGAACGATCATCGTAAACAATTTGATTAAAAACCCCTAAACAACCTGCCGAATTAACTTGCACCTGCTTTAACAGAAAATGAGAGGATTTTAATGAACAATTTACGTTTATGTCATTACTCGAGGTTATGACGCTTAAATTAGATTGTAATCGAAAAAACAAAGTATCAGTATTTCAGTAAAAAATGTATAGTGAAATGGACGGTGATATTTCATTTACTTATTCAGTAATCCAGCACTGAAATTTCTTTTAAAGACTCACTCCTTTATTTTACTGATAATTGAGGCACTCCAAGGTTGTTTAAGAGTCGCTGGTAAACGAAATTTAAGGTCGTCTTTACGATGCATTCGTCTGGTGTATCAAATTTTCAACGAAGCATCAACAATGTGATGAGTTTTGCCTAACGTCAGGTGTACAGGTCGGCAGGTGTACTTTTTGTTTGGGATCAACTCAACACTTGCGCGTATTTTATGACTGCCATCCGAGCGACCCGAATGCTAGCATCACAACTAACGCCCGCGCGCTGAGTGTTTAGTGAATTCTTCCAATGCAATATCTTGATGAAGATATGAAATTTTTCCTATTTTCTGAACCACTTCTTACCATAAGGAAACCAGTATCATTTCGAGAAAATTGCGTATCATTCGTGTTATTTTCAGCAACATTATGTGCTAATTTGCGGTCGATGTTTCGTCGCAAAACAGTTTTGTTGATCGAGTGAATGCATCACGTCCTAATGTTGCTGTAATCGATTATGCTCAGTAGTTTGAAAAACTATCATTGCCTCGACGCGAAAATCAGCAAAGAATACAAACCATGCGGCGTCCTCTATATTTCATCTTAGTGGTCCATTGCTGGACTGAGCGCATGTTGCATTTTGTACCGTTCTATCGTAACTACTGCGCTCTCATAACATGCATGAGACTGGGGAGGGCTGTTTGAAAGATTCAAATTAACGTTCATGCACTGAATCGAGTTATTATTAATCTACTTACTGTTTTATAATTAAAACTCCTATTAGAGGCGAGAGAATGGAATTTATTAATAATTTTCTTGTTTATTCTTCAAAAAGCTGAACATGCGAAGTATGCCAATTTAGAGCTTTAAGCTAAAGCTTGCTTATTAATTAAAAATTAGTTTTGGTGCTATGCAGACTCATCGCCAGACACTATTGCAATGCTAGCCTGCGCTACTGATACGGTTCAGTGTTTTTTAACGACTTTCAATGGCACACACTTTCATTTTTTGAGGAATAAACATATTTATGAATGAAAGAAAATAAACTATATTTTTATTGAGAGAGCTAATCTTTACTTTCTTTTCGAAATTTTGAGCAATCTTATTATGCATGATTCGTTTTAATATATTTCGAACATCATCATTAAACCTATAACTCTGTGAAACAAGTTGTTAATATCGTTGTTAGCACGTCAGTGGAAAGAGAGGAGTCTAATTACCCACCTGTTGGAAGTCGGGTAGTCAGTACTTCTGCAGAAAAAGTCAGTACTTCTGCAGAAAAAAGTCTAATTTCAGCTCACGGAAAAGTTGAACCGTTTTCAGAAAACGACTGCAAATGGAATAACTTCATAGCAAATTAAGATTTGTGCTCGGAAGTGTGCTGTCTTCAGATGGCATAAAATTTAAGAATAATCCACTATCGTTCACGATTCGCGAAATTCACTTATCTCGGTCGACAAAAAAAAAAAAAAAAAAAAAAAGAAGAATAAGATGAATGGGGTAGAGTGCCAAATTAGGGTAGTCATGTTGCATCTTGTCATTGCTGAGAGGCTTCAAAGAATGCGATTCAGATCAAGGTTCAAAATTTATTTAGACAATACCTTATATTCAGTGATTGAACTGAACATTTAACAATTACACTGACACGAAGCATTTTTATATCGACTAATACATATTTTAAGCTCTTAAAGTCGAAAAATAACTGAATAATGAAATACAGAATTTTCAAAATTAAAATGAGAGTATTGGAAACTAATTTGTACTGTTATTAGAACAGCATTCCATATGTTACTCATGGTACAATATCACGTGATATACCAAACTGTGTGGCTTACGCGATGAAGGAGGAATTTTTTTTGGGTTCGAGTGATGATATGTCAGTCAAAATTATTCATGCTATAAACCACAAAAACTCACTCATTTGGACATTAAATTAACGATTTTCTTAGTAAAATGTTTATATACTTTCACTCTAGAACTAATCATATGAAAGTGAATTAATTCAGACTCATAGACCTAATATAGCTTCTCATTTGAATAAAATCTATATATATGTACGAATTATAAAGGGAAAATGAATTGATAAAAAGGAAAATATATATTAATTTTGTGCATAAATAACGACGGGGAGGAGATAAAATATTATTGCAATCGCGCCCAGCTGTCGAGAAAGACTTAGTGACTACCGGTACTGGAGATAATACTGTCGGCATCACCATTGGAAATGGTGTTGAATTCAAAATAAAGCAGTAGTTGATACAAAACAACACGAATTTTATTAGTAAGCCCACTTAGAATTGGAAAGAGTGTAGATTTTATCTTGCAGCAAAGCAGCATACACAAAATGAACCATGAGCTGGATTCCAATAGGCGTTTTTTTCGTGGGGTAGTTCCTACCATCACCCAGCTGCCATGCATGCAAAAACATGATTAAATGGTGTTAACTCTCATAACATTAAGGATCTACACTACTTTTAACAAAGAATTTTCCTGAACCAAATTCGATTGATGAAAATATTGCATGTCATTCACTTACATATATAATTGAATCTAAAACATTCCTCATCGAAGAGTTCAATTAAAATTGATAATGGAATCATAAATAAATAGAATCGCGAAATAAATGTTTTATTTAAATCTCAATAGCATAGAAAATTTAATTTTTGAGAACTCTGCGGAAAACACACTAAATATTTCATAATGTTTAATAAATCATTGCAGAAATGCTTAAAAAAAATGTGCCTAACTCACACAAATTAGAAATAGGAAACATTTATAATCCATAAGTTGAAAAGTTTTGCTCTAAATAAGCCAAGCGCTTATCAAGTAGCCAAGCAGTGACAATATCCATCAGCAATCATATTCTCATGTAAAGTTAATTTAAAAAAGGCGGGTGATGCATCTTTACCCAAAGCCGTGAGCCGCAAATTCAACTCCCACGCAAGTCTTGGCTTCAAAATTCAACTATATTCTCCTGAAACGGTTCTATTGTTGAAAGCTTTAATGCACAGTGAGTCCTGAAATTGTCTATAAAGCTAATTAATCGCCAGAGTATTGGAAGTAATGTAATCCGTAAGACATGTCTTATATTTCCACGATTCTCTAGGTAAATCTAATTATGGCCGTGTGTTGATGAAAATTATAAGCAACTCTTGCCATTTCGATCGCCAAATGCGGAAAACAAATTTCGAGACTGGAGACCCTGCTCACGAGGAGGCCTTGACACCGAGAGCTATTGTTGCTCTAATTATGACGCCTAGAATGTCCTCCTGCATCACGAATATCCTCCAGCTTTACGAATATCCTCTAGTGTCACGAATATTCTCTAGCGTCACAAATGTCCTCCAGCATCAAGAATGTCCTCCAGTGTCACGAATATCCTTCAGCGTCACCAATATCCTCCAGCGTCACAAATATCTTCCAGCATCAAGAATGTCCTCCAATGTCACGAATATCCTTCAGCGTCACGAACATCCTTCAACGTCATGAATATCCTTCAATGTCACGAATATCCTTCAGCGTCACGAATATCCTCCAGCGTTACGAAAATTTTCTCCTCGAAGCGATGAAGTTTGCTTAAATATCCTGCATCTCCCACATCAAAATGACTCTATTTGTTAGTGCAATTATACATAACTATTGCTGCTCGAATAAACGATGATATTCTTTTAATAAAGTACGTTCTCTATGAGGGCGAAGTTGTGAGAGGTTGTTAATTGGTATTGTCACAGTTTTAATTCAGAAAGTTTATTCAATTCCAGAATTGATTTAGGATATTAAAATTTTATCTGCTAAACTGTATTATTAGAAAAGTAAATCAGTAATTTGGTTTTTATTATGTGAACATGTTAAAGATGCGCAAAATTCCTTGGTATTTGGAGAAAATTATGAACATTGAATGCGGCAGAATGCCCCGTGTGTACATGCAGCGTCTGTTCATAATATATAGCGGGATGCAGATAGAGCATCAAGCGTGCATTGCCAAACATGAAACCACATCAGCAGAGTTGTGGGTTATGGCTCCCGTATCGCGCAGCCAGTTAATCTGGCTGCTGCAGAGTTGATGTCTGCAACTCGCAGGCACACAATGAAAGTGATGTTGAGAGCTGTAGGAAATAGATATTCAGTTGGAACTTTTCAGCAATGTATTTTTATTCGAAAAGTATATTTTTGTGGTTAAGTTTCATTGCAATTGCTTGGTCATATATCATTCATTTGCATAAAGTTGTACGTGCCTAAATTGCCTGGTATTAAAGAAATAGTTATTACTAGCATTATTTCGTCAATATCGATATGAGCTTATCACATAATCTTGCTACATTCTTGAAAAATCGTCCGCACTAATACTATCCAAAAAATTTCAAATGCGGCATGGCTGAAAAGGACTATCAGTAAAACATTAGTTCAATTCAAATAAAAGACGATAGCGAGTTATTAAATTGTAAGTAGAAGACGAGTCGGTGCATAACAATACGAGAATGAATCTATAGTAATATGATTAGTCCGGCTTGGGTTTCTGTTTCGAAACTTGTTCAGAAACATTTGAAAGTTGAGATAATTAAGTGCCAAATTCAGTGCGACGATCTACGCGGGGCAATATTTGACCTTTCATTACACAGTTTGGGGCGCAATTTGAGAAATGTGAAATGACGGAAACTGTCTCTGAGACTTCATTGTTTTTCACTGAAAAAGCCCTAACATGCTTACAAACATTATGCAATATCAACGTTTTTTTCAGTATAACTATCGCTCACATAGACAACGCAACGTACGTATAGCGAGTTTTTAGGTAGGGGCGCTTTTTGAAAAGTGTTTTCCCCGCTATTGAAACTTTGATGTATGGAATATCATTTGGATACAATTTTCTGTCAGCAGGATCCATTAAAGTAGTATTATATTTTATAATACAATATCAAGACCTTCTCCAGGTTGTAGAAAGGATAGAAATGAAAAAGCAACATGATGAAATTGAGTTAATCCGTCACCTTTGAAAGGCGTTCTTGCGAGCGCATTGAATAATTCTTGAAAGATATTTCTGTCTCTTCCTGCATGGCAAGTAATCAATGAGTTTTGAGGCAGAAATAATTTTTCTGTCTCCATATATTGAGCGGTGCATTTTACTTCGAATAAAATTTGTTACAAAAATTTATTCCAGGTACCAGTACTGGCGCGCTGTGTGCATCGGTGGGAAGCTTGCTCTGGAGAAGTTTGTCCTAGGCCTAGTTCGTAGATATGGTAGAATACGTATAAAATTTCCTCTTCTGTCCACCACAAAGACTGTAAGGCTCATCAAACCTTAAATGTCCGGTTCTGACCGACATTATCAGCTGTTACATTGGTTGCGTATGCCACCTTCAGTGATATCACGCTTGCGGTTCTCTTCAGTCACCTCTGCACCGATAGCATATAGCCAGTCACCGCCCAGCCTCTCTAGCAATTCTTTGCTGGCTGGAGCTATAAAGTCTTGCGTACAGTCTTCCCGCTTAATCATGCGATCCGTAATATAAATATAGGTATTCATTATCGCTTCACTGTGTGTTTTACTCCACCTTGACTGTCCAAGACCACTTTAACGAACTCAGTTCCAAAGAACTAATACATTAGTTTGCCGTCGCAATAGGCGAGCTTGCACAAAAGGAAGACGAATGCTCAAAAACAAAACAACGTTTCATTCCTAAGAATTATAGCCTTTCCTTTATTTTAACTACCAAAAATAACCATTTATATTTTGATATTCTGTGTTTAATGTGCATTAGGTTCAATTATCATCTGCATATAATTCGTATTTGTAAGTTAATCATTTTGGTACTTATATTAATTAGGTATCCCATATCAGTTATGAGAGTTAAGCGAATTCTTCATTCTGACAAAGAGGATGACTAGTAAAATTGCGGCAGAAAATTTCAGCGCAGCGCAGGTACTTAGAACCGCCGAATAGGAGCCGCTGAAGTCCCGGATCACACCTGCAAGTTGAAAATATACTGCCGACGATTCACAGTGAAACAGATTACTAAAAATCACTGAAATCATCAATCGGTGAACGATTTAGAAGGAGGAAATATTTCAAACATTAACTGTAAAGTTACTCTAAATTTACTGAGACAAATTTATCGCAACGAAATTCTATCTCTGTCATTGAAATAACCATAAGTTTATTCAGATATCAAGAATTTAAAGCAAAGAAAACAGCCAAAAAATTCACCATTTCTTAAGAATGACAACGTTTCGGAGTCCAGCTACATCGTCTGTTACAAAGTTCAAAACCTATAAGACAAGCAGAATCCATTGGAAAACTAATATTCACATTGAAGATAAAAATCTAAATTGACAAATAAAAAAAATACACGTGAGGAGACGTGCATATTTACAATTTCAAGGGGAAAGGAGCTGAGGGCTGCATTTAAACAAGGTTTATGTTTAAAAATATACAGAGGTTATAAATTGGAATACCGGTCAGAAACACCGGCCGTGAAAGCTAGAACTCTTAAATCACATATATCGGACACCGAGGAACACTGCACTGCTAGGCATAGACGCGCACAGCTGAATGAGGAGGATGCGCAAGTAATGTTCCCGTTCTAAGACCTCTGCCCTTATGCTCCGCCAGCCTAGAGTAAACATTTCGGGACGTCTACCGAAGTACGCTGGTGCGCACTGCGCACAACTGAATCTATATACTAGGGATGAACGCATAAAAAACGGAAGAGCATCTTTATGCTTAAAGAACGAGCCGATTTTAAAGTTATTTCTCTAACACCATTTGCAGATTAATATTCGGAAGCTATTTACTAAACAAAACTTTCAATTCTTCAGCCATAGTCTCAGATGCATTATCGAAGTAGGGAAGAGAACAATAAATCAGGTTCCTACTGACACAATCGTGAACAACGTCATTATATTGCCTAGACATGAATCTCTTAATTTGAGCATAAACCAATTGCGACGGAAATCCATTTAATGAAAAGATGTTGCGCAAAAAATTAAATTCAGTGTGTCTAGCATTGGAGGTTGAGCAAATAAGGAAGCCACAATTTATTAATGTTTTAATCCCATTTATTTTGAAACTAAATGAGCAAAAACTAAAAAAAGATTTTGCTTGAACCGGTAAATGCTGACTTTCGGAAGAAAGAGGTCTGGAAACAGCCTAAAATTCATAAGCCAGATTTCGCTTCGAATTTGCAGCTTCGACCCATTTATGCTGCTTAAAACACTCCGAGTTTCAAGCTTGCTAAATTTTTGATCCCAGTGTTGAACTGCTTGAAAACCAATCGATATATGGTAGACAATTCTTACGTTTTCGTAGACCGCTTGAAGAGTTTCACCAATGTTCAGGATTTGACTATGGCTTCATTTGATGTAGAGAATTTGTTTACAAATATACCTCTTCATGAAACTATTGATATTTGACTGAATTCTTTGTTCTAAGAGATTAATGACATTTTCATGGGTTTGAACCGCAAAATTTTTCAATCTCATCTTGAACTATCGGTTTTAAACACTTGTTTCGTATTTGCTGGCAAATTTTACAGACAAATTGACGGCTTGGGCATGGGTCTTCCACTCGCTCCTACTTTTGCAAATATTTTCACGTATTTTCACAAGGCTATATGGCTGGCCAATTGTTCCCTTGATATTAAGCCTGTTTTCTATAACCGATATGTCGATGATACTTTTTTACTTTTCAAGCAACCCTCTCATGTGGGCCGTTTCTTTGATTATCTTAACCTCCAACATCAGTCAATAAAATTCACCATGGAGCTTGAAACCAAGAATAGTTTATCTTTTCTCAATTGCAATGTTACAAAATCTAATGGCTGTTTCCAGACCTCTGTATTCCGGATGTCAGCGTTTACCGGTTTAAGCACCAGCTTTTTCAGTTATTGCTCATTTCGTTTCAAATTAATTGGTATTAAAACATCGATAAATCGTGGCTTCCGTATTTGCTCAACTTTTAATGCTATGCACACTGAATTGGATTTTTTTCGCAACATCTTTTTATTAAATGGGTTTCCGTCGTCAACCCTCGTGCAACCCTGACTAAGGTTCCAATTGTGACGAAACCTGTGATGTGATCTAATATTGGTAGTTGGTGGTGAGACTTGAATAGTGCTTAAAAATGATTGGTTCTGCAATTAATTTGCAATACCAGCTACAATTTTTTTACTTTTGCTTTTCTACAATTTTTTTTTTACTTTTACCACATTTAAGCTAAACAATTGGTTGGTTTACTTACCTAAAATTGGAGACATTGAAGTGCCTGTCACTGCCAGCACAATCGCTAAGACAGCAAGGCATTGAGGATAAAGTTCCAGGCCGACGATGTCAATAAGGATGGCATAGAAAATGCTAGAGAATATGCCGACCCCAAAACCGTGCACGACGCTGAGGGCTGTCAACACGTGCTCGTCCCCGTGAGAGAAAATGAACCCTGTGTCAGAAAAATTGTTTTGCACTCCAGCGACAGATTTTACTATACTAATTATAGCCAAAAATGCAACAAACATCTTGTTCATTCAAAGAAGCTCTGAGATCATCTCACCCGCGCTAAGTGCAGCCGAAGCCTTAAAGCTAGGTTAGAAGCGAACGTGCTGAGTACACGATCAATGTTGTAAGACTAAACTTTAGTAAATTTTGAAATTTTATATTATCATCGATTCTCGATTCGATTGAGTTTAACCATTCATAGTTAGCAAGTATTTCAGCAGTTTTAAGCACTTCATTTATTGAAACACTTACCTATGTCTAAGACCCCAGCGATTATTGAGGCAACGCATAGCGCAGTTTTTCTTCTGAAGCGTTGATGGTTTACTGTCAGGGTGACCACAATGCGAACTAATGTGCCCATTATGGCACTGTTCGCTAGGCATTGAGCTGAAAACTGGGGCGTGAACCCATTACTTTGTAGAATAAAAGGCAAAAAGGAATAAAAATTGGTGCAACTTGTTTGGAAGAGGCTTCGAGCTAATACCATCATAAAAACCTTTTCGTTTTTCATGGCTTTTAATTTATCGCTCAGCCAAACTTTGAGTTTTGAATATAAATTGAAAGAACAGTTCCATCTCAATGAAGGGCAATTCTCAGTCTTCGGAGTGATTTCTTCCAAACTCTGGTGTTTGTAAATGAAATCATCAGGAACTTTTTCGGGACGCATTCGTGCTGGCCTTACTAGGGCGACGAGCACGCAGGCCTGCAGGAAGCAGGCGCCGTAGAGCAGCAAGCCCCCCGAGTAGCCGTAAAAGTCTATGAGGTATCGCACGAGGTGCGGGGAGATCACGCCCGAGGCACCCATGCCAACTGTGATGCACGAAAGTGCAGGTCTTCTGTACTTCTCAAAGTACATCGGCCCCATTAGCAGGGTAACGTTGTAAAGAAAGCCTCCGCTCAGCGCTGAAGGGGAGCCAAAGAAAGATTAGGCGTTTTAGGTGTTAGATAACTGATGTGTCAGTCGGATGTGGAACTAATCCACTTATCTGACCGGCATTGTAGAGTTCTTCAGGATACAGTGATAGGTCTTGCAATATACGCTATCATATTTCAACCTATTAGTACATGGGTGATTAAATTAATTGAAAAGCTAAGCATCTCGAATCTGCAGAGACTTTAAAGTGAGAAGTCTCACCAAGTACTACGCCGTACGCAGTGAAGATGACTCCCAGGCCGTCACAGAGCGCCAGCAGCACGAAGGAGAAGAAGGCCGTGACGAGAGCGACGAAGGTCGTGCTTCTGTGGCCGAGCTTGGAGGCGATGTCAGGGCAAATTAGCGAGCCCAGGTCGTAGAAGAAAAGGTGCAGCGTGAAAATGCCGCTGCTCAGCGATGATGATGCGGAGAACGAAGACATTTTTTGGCTGAAGAATACGCCGAAGCATGAAGACAAAAAGCCAACAAAGATCTGAAAATTGCATATGAAAATATAAGTACATTATGAAATTACGCGGAAGATTCAACTTCATTATGAATTATCATGATATTCAACTTCTGCAAGTTAGTTGAATTGAGTGCCTTCATCGACAAGTAATAGCTCTTTAAATTTGAGCTACAATTCTTTAATTCGGAGCTGTTCATTTATTCTTTGCGTGGATTTAAAAAAAAGGACTTTCATATATTTAAAGTATTGTTCATCAATATAATCCAGAAACTAAAGCAGGTTGTAGTATAACTGGATATATCGGTTGAAGTATAACCCAAATAGTTTGGTAACAAATCAATTTCCGAAAAAACAAGTAATTGAGGCATCTATCATTGTAAAATTAAAGGATATTATCTTAAAAATTGTATTAGTTGAGTCGTGAGTATGAAAATCGACAGAGATTAAACTATGATTTCGAGAAAACTGATCAATCGAGACTTCAATCAGCTGATTTCTTCCCAACGCACATCATTCATTATTATTTTGCATTGACGGTTTTCACAAAAAAGTTTATAGTGGATTGTTATACTGTAAGCATTTATCGATATATTAAGGCAAAAAGGAAAGATATAAAAGAGTTAATCTTGCGAAATAAAAAGTCACAACAGAGCACGTAAAATATTCATTGGTATTCATTAATAGTTGTCAGAGTTTTAGATTTGCAGGTTTCTTGCTTTCGTGTCGAATAAATACCTAGCTATATCATTATCCGAGCAGGCTGAATGAAAATCGATCAGAATATTTGTTGTGGCAGCGTGGCGAACGGACGTTCGGTGTCGCGCGCGATCCAACGGTTACATTTAATTTTGCCGGTTCAACTGTGTTATTGCATTCTGTACTGAAGTGTTACAGTGAATAGTCTGGAATTAAGTAAAGTCAGTAAAAAGTGAGTGAGTCACCAATTGATTGTGAAATATGGCAGCCAAAGTCTGTGTTAGTAAACCTGCCGGAGAATGTCTGGAATGCAACAAATGCAATTTTGGACAATTGGCACTAAGATGTAACACATGCAGACAATTTTGTCACTTCGAATGTTCACTACTTCCAGAATACCAACTTGCTCAAGCCAACGTCGGAGAAGGAACAGAATGTAAAAATGTAATAGAATGTTAGAATGCTGGGAACGTGAATACATAGGCAAACCTGACGAGCAAATGTGTACAAAGTTCACATGATAGAACATCGCTTGAAGGTATGATGATTACGTATGCATATAAGAAAAAGTTTAAGTGTTGAATAAGGTATAGAAACGCTTGACGAATAACACTTTCGAGATAAAAGAAGATGAAGACGATATCTTTGAGAGCGTACAAATTATTTAAAACATTCGAAATGGATGAACGCTTACGACTGATAGTCATGTTCGAATGAACAATTTTCATGCGTGGATAGTAAATGTATGTATATCATATATTGGCTGCAATCGGGAGGCATCTCAGGAATTGTTATCTGTCCCTGTAACGCCGAGTAATCATACAAGATCTATATAAAGTTATGAGTTCGCTCTATTAATATAGTTGAATTATGAACTGTCTAAAAATATCAATCGTGGCCAATTTTTTACTATGCAATACAAAATGTTCTAGATGTTTAGCTCTTTAAATATATAAAAAAATTGTTAATTTGTATGTATTAGTTTTAAAGTTGTATATTATCTCCTCGAGGAGGGTGCTGTAACGAATTAGTTATCTATTTTGATAACTCCGTAGTACTTTTTGAAGGCCGTATTACACCACAAAAAAGGCCAAGGACGGCTTAGGGAATTTCTACTAAGTCAATAAAATTTGGTCGTCTGTTACTTTGTCTGACTTACATATACTGATATTTGATTAATAAATGATTTTATGAGCGGTTCGGCACTTCATACTTCACTCACAGCTCATGAATGAACATGAAAGTCCCCGATTTGAGAACTGTCAATAAGTAACGAGTCTCTTCTGGAGAGTTTTGATCAATTTTACGATTTCTATAGTTCTATTCGCCGAAAGTCTTCCTCTCACGAAATAATATGGTAATGAAATGTCTATATATTGGCTTTTCACTTCCAAATGAAAATTAATCAGCCTCGAGTGAAGAATAAAAACCTAAATGTGAGAATGAATTTCTTCATCTCGTAGAATGAACAATGCACCCAAACTTTCCTTATCATCCATTCAATGCTCCGTGCCTCAGCAACCTACCAGAATTTTTTGTATTTTTATCATATAATTTTTTGGTTTTAATCGAAGAATTTGCGAGAAATTTATTGCAGACTAGGGCAATTATTTGCGAATTTTTTTCTGGGAGGCGGTATTACCGATATGTGCTAGAATTTTCGACAAAATAACGACCAGCGACCAGGATCTAACCCCACATAAAATAGATTCTGATGAGTTATCCTGACGCAATAACAGTTACGTACAACAGCGTCCCATAGTTACGTAAGTAGTTTGAACATTCAAAGTAATGGAAGGAAAATATGTACAGATTAGGCCAAAACTGTCTACTATAGAGACTAAGAGAGAAGAGTTGATTCCGAGTCTAGATTTTATTGGTAAATCATTTACGAGCCTATATCAGGAGAACCTATACATTTCAGTATATTTTTATTACAAAAAATTAATGAATCTTTTCAATCGTCATTCGAATTTCAGTTCATGAATTGAGTCATGAGTGCTGGTGAATAATGCATCATAGAAAAGCTCCAAGAAGTAACAAACAATTCATTTTTTGATTATAATACACAGAGCTGGGATCGAATCCGCGCCTCTCTAATGCGTCAATCCTGGTACTCTGAACTTTAACCACTGGGCCACCCTGCCCATTTTGATGTGGAGGACAAATAACTTTGAAAATCGAAACGGCTGAAAGTCTTACAATCGAATGTAATGGAAATAACTATTTTCCCTTAAAAATAGCCCGTGTGATTAAATGGAATTCAGTTCAAAATAGCAACTAACTGAAATATATATTATGAGTAAACTGGAACTTCAAATAATGATGTGCGAGGCAATGCGGAGGTCTCATTTCCATTTTAATGTACAACCAAAGGATAATAAATGTCTACAAATTTCGCGTAGATGCAATTTTAGCAGCACGAATAACATGCTTAGACGAACTGCTCGGAGAGCAGCTCATTCAACGAGAGAAGGGGGAGACTGTGCAAGATCCCTGCGTAACAGATCCGCAGTCAGATTTCAATCCCTGCGGGAAGGATCGCTTTCCGTGGCAGGGCCAAGGCTGTTCAACGCCCTACCAAGTGATCAAAGAGAGGGGGAGTTCACCCTCGAGACCTTCAAGAGACAACTAGACGTGTTCCTGAGCACAATCCCAGATCGACCTCCCCTGCAACACTACCAGCGGCGAGAAGCAAGCAACAGCATCGTGCATCAGGTGGCCCAAATGAGGGCGGATGAACGATAATCAGAGGCGGCGATCCATCGTGGCCTGGGACTGCTATGTCCCAAACAAATACTAAGGATACTAAGGAATATAGAACTGCAAAAGATCTTCGCTTTAGCCAACACGGGTGGGTTCATCTGCACAAGGTAAGGCGCATCTGTATGATTCCTTCACTCAACAATAACGTATGATCTAAGTTTCCTACCATAAATAACAGCGGAGGTAAGCAAATTACTTACTTGAATGTAAAAAGCCATCATGAGGGCCACCCAACTCCATTTTCTATCAAGCAGACTTTGCTGACGCGAAGAACCCTTGCAGAGCTTGTTTTCACTATCGTTTGTGCCGTACCCTCGAGATGAAAAAAGAGCTTTGAAAGCTTTGTTGGTCAGTTTTTTTTGACAAATTTTGGAATCAGGACTATTTGCAGCTATTTCCGATGCCGGATAAATCATGTTTAACTTTCCGATTGCTTCCTAGCACGGATCACATACTATAATTTTTCATTATAGGTTTAAGAAAGATATTTTTAATATGTCAATTTGAGCGAACGATCGAAGGTGAAAGTTTTGCCGCACATAAATCAGCTTATATTAAATCAGCTTATATTTTTTTGTGACATACGTGCTTATGGTATTTATCGTTTTTGCGTTGCTTTACAAGGGATATGTTCTCGGCACTGTTTCAGACGCATATGTGCCAGAAAACAGTTGATTAACGTCGCGTACAGAACGTCGCATGTGCCGGGCTTTGAGTTTGTGTATCCAATTACTGATTAGGTATCTACAATGCTTGTGCAGGGCCTCATTGAAAATTAGCATTAATGGGACGTGGGTGGTAATTAGCAATCATTTATCGTGGTAACGGCTGTATAAACCTTGGACAGCTGCTTCGATCGAAGAAGCAAGTGATTTCTTTGTAGTCCAAGAACTGTCGCAAGACTCTTGAAATTGAAGATCGCTTCAGGTAGCTTGACTGCTTGATGTGTCCGGTTATAATAAAATTCAAATATACGTTATTCATACGATGCAATTTTTACTACTCGATGGCACACATATTCTAATCTAATTCAAACTTCTGAAACGTCATGCGATCGTTTGTTCCACTTACGTATGATCGAAGTGAGATTTAACAGTTTAGCAACTTTAAATCACTTTTTATATTTCAAACTAATTAATAATTTTCGCATCAGGAGTTATCTAAGATAAAAAAAGATGGTCTGTGTTCATTGGCCAAAAAGTGTCACACTTTATAAATTTTTCTTAGTGTGCCAAACAATTTTTTCATTCTTTTATGAGTTAATTTTTTCCAGGAGGCATTCAATTATCCTATTGATTCCAAGTTTAATAATTTTTTTCTTCTCAATTTCTGTTCTTCACTATGATAATCAACATATTCCTAATTAATTATAATTTGGCGTATCATGTTGTAATTTATCAGCAGGAAACATTTTGTCTACATACACATGTGACGGAACTTGAATTTTGCGGAATATTTTTCTTTTATAAAGTAGTATTGCCTGGACTTGGAAACTTCAACTTCATCAAAGG